GAGTCGTCCGACCCGTATTGGGAAGAACGTGCTACCAAATAATCGACTCCATGAAAGCAGGGCACGTGCCGCCCGGAGCGTACGAGGAACTGGTACTGGATTTCTGGGAGCAGGTCCATCCTTCACGGGTTCCTAAGGTCCTCCTCATGAACGATTACGGAGGTCAGGAAGCTCCATGGTTCACCCTTCGGGCCAAGCTGCCATTCAAGGAAATGGAAGGCCGGTGGAGAGGCAGATTGTCGCCAGAAGTGCCGGAGGACCAAGCAGAAAACATGATTCGCGGTTTCCCCAAGGCATGGCGCGATCTGTCAGGAGAGGTCCTCGATTTTCCTGACATTGTACAAGCTCTAGTTGGCCTCGCGATGCCGGCCTGCTCGGAGGCTTAGCGCCTGTGAGAGAGCCTCCATAGCAAGTCGCAGCATGTGAGTCTGCGGCCACATTCGCGTCATGGGCTCCTCCAGAGCATGCAAGAAGCAAGATGGACAGAGCCACCCTGAGCACCCTTGCTGCCGTGCTTGTCTTGGCCGCACGGGGGCGCGCGCTGGTTCTTGCGCCAGCGTAATGGTCCAATGACGCCATCTGACAGAACTTCTGCACATGATGGGCGAAAAGCCTTTGCCTCTCTGCGCTTCCCAACAGCATGCGACCGTTTGGCGGGGGCTCACGGGATAGTTCTGGAGCTTATGCATGGTCCAAGGTTTCTCCGAAAAATGGCACGAAACCCTCATAATTCAGCTCACTTACGGCCCTAATGTAGAGAGATGCCCGAGGCTCGTTATTCTCTAGAAGAGGGTGCTTCCGAGGCGGAGGCGCGCGGTAGCTGCCAGAACAGATGAGGCAGAGATATAGGTCGTTGTCGAAGAGAGCTATGTTGGTTGCTTTGCCTCCTGGCACAGGTAAGTCTACCTGACCGTCCTGCTCAATGAAGCACTTGCAAGAAGAGTGGACCCCATGCAATTCGTTCAGCGCCATCTTGGAGAATTGCCGAAGTCGTGTTGGTATACCGCTGAGAAATTGAGAGAGGTGCTTGGCTTTGCACCACCTCTAGTCCAGTATTTTGCAGATGCTGACGCAGTTCTTGAGTCGTCCGACCCGTATTGGGAAGAACGTGCTACCAAATAATCGACTCCATGAAAGCAGGGCACGTGCCGCCCGGAGCGTACGAGGAACTGGTACTGGATTTCTGGGAGCAGGTCCATCCTTCACGGGTTCCTAAGGTCCTCCTCATGAACGATTACGGAGGTCAGGAAGCTCCATGGTTCACCCTTCGGGCCAAGCTGCCATTCAAGGAAATGGAAGGCCGGTGGAGAGGCAGATTGTCGCCAGAAGTGCCGGAGGACCAAGCAGAAAACATGATTCGCGGTTTCCCCAAGGCATGGCGCGATCTGTCAGGAGAGGTCCTCGATTTTCCTGACATTGTACAAGCTCTAGTTGGCCTCGCGATGCCGGCCTGCTCGGAGGCTTAGCGCCTGTGAGAGAGCCTCCATAGCAAGTCGCAGCATGTGAGTCTGCGGCCACATTCGCGTCATGGGCTCCTCCAGAGCATGCAAGAAGCAAGATGGACAGAGCCACCCTGAGCACCCTTGCTGCCGTGCTTGTCTTGGCCGCACGGGGGCGCGCGCTGGTTCTTGCGCCAGCGTAATGGTCCAATGACGCCATCTGACAGAACTTCTGCACATGATGGGCGAAAAGCCTTTGCCTCTCTGCGCTTCCCAACAGCATGCGACCGTTTGGCGGGGGCTCACGGGATAGTTCTGGAGCTTATGCATGGTCCAAGGTTTCTCCGAAAAATGGCACGAAACCCTCATAATTCAGCTCACTTACGGCCCTAATGTAGAGGAGATGCCCGAGGCTCGTTATTCTCTAGAAGAAGGTGCTTCCGAGGCGGAGGCGCGCAGTAGCTGCCAGAACAGATGAGGCAGAGATATAGGTCGTTGTCGAAGAGAGCTATGTTGGTTGCTTTGCCTCCTGGCACAGGTAAGTCTACCTGACCGTCCTGCTCAATGAAGCACTTGCAAGAAGAGTGGACCCCATGCAATTCGTTCAGCGCCATCTTGGAGAATTGCCGAAGTCGTGTTGGTATACCGCTGAGAAATTGAGAGAGGTGCTTGGCTTTGCACCACCTCTAGTCCAGTATTTTGCAGATGCTGACGCAGTTCTTGAGTCGTCCGACCCGTATTGGGAAGAACGTGCTACCAAATAATCGACTCCATGAAAGCAGGGCACGTGCCGCCCGGAGCGTACGAGGAACTGGTACTGGATTTCTGGGAGCAGGTCCATCCTTCACGGGTTCCTAAGGTCCTCCTCATGAACGATTACGGAGGTCAGGAAGCTCCATGGTTCACCCTTCGGGCCAAGCTGCCATTCAAGGAAATGGAAGGCCGGTGGAGAGGCAGATTGTCGCCAGAAGTGCCGGAGGACCAAGCAGAAAACATGATTCGCGGTTTCCCCAAGGCATGGCGCGATCTGTCAGGAGAGGTCCTCGATTTTCCTGACATTGTACAAGCTCTAGTTGGCCTCGCGATGCCGGCCTGCTCGGAGGCTTAGCGCCTGTGAGAGAGCCTCCATAGCAAGTCGCAGCATGTGAGTCTGCGGCCACATTCGCGTCATGGGCTCCTCCAGAGCATGCAAGAAGCAAGATGGACAGAGCCACCCTGAGCACCCTTGCTGCCGTGCTTGTCTTGGCCGCACGGGGGCGCGCGCTGGTTCTTGCGCCAGCGTAATGGTCCAATGACGCCATCTGACAGAACTTCTGCACATGATGGTTGAAGTTGGGCAGACTTGGGTGGCAGCGGGGCGGGCGATCCTGGCTATGCGTGAAGTTGGCATCCGTAAGGGGCTGACCTCTTAAGTTTGTGTTGACGCACACGCGAAGGCCCCGCAGGTTGTCCCTGAAACACAGAGCTCCGGGCGCGCGGGCAGCAAGTCACTGAGGGCAGGTCCGTCAGACACCGCCTTGATCCAAGCTTTGGCTGCAAGTCTGGGTAACACCAGTTTGCAAGGTGCTGGTAGCTCCAGCCCAAAGCGGGGTCAGCGGGGTGGGCAGGGAGAGCGTGGTGGCAGATGAAGTGTAGTTTGGACAGGGAGAGGTATGCTGTCAGCATCACCCCTAGTTCTCAAGTCTACACTCCTTGCCTTGTCTTCATCGCGGTTCAAGGGGCTGTCGCCGCCCATCGTAAGCCGTGTCTGAGAAGCGTGCTGCTGCCCGGAAGAAAGACACGTTCCTTAGAAGAGGATTTTTCAAGTGAAGCTGGGAACTTCGAAGTTTGTAAGGACCGGACTTCGAGGCAGCAGCTAGGCGCTGGTGCGCTGTATCGCTCCAAAAAGCCGCAGGGTTAGCACCTCTCAACACTTTCCATATCAAGTCGCAGCATTCGCAGCATGTGAGTCTGAAGCATTCACGTCATGGGGGAGCACGGCGAGCACCCCTGCCGCTTCTGCGGCGTGCGCGTTGGTTCTCCAGCACAAGCAGTTCGACGGCTGTGCGAAGGCGAGCGGCTTTGGTTGGGCCAGGGGCCTTGGCCGCTTCTACAGATAAGCTTGGTGCGTAGGTCTGCCCCAGTTAACCTTGCAACGCCAACACAACGCCACGCACCACCCGCGCTCGCAAAGCAGATCTTTATCCCAAACATCGACAATGCCTCTGACCCCGGTCACTCGGCGCTTTCATAGTGCCAGGAGGCTCCCTTCCCAAGGGCGAAGGTGGGTTTTCAGGGTTTAGGCCCTTCTTGTGCAGCATGCCTCTTGTTATAAGGTCTTGGAGCCCAGAAAAATGCGGGGAGGCGCCGTGGGAAGCGTGTAACAGCCTGGCTTGGCACATATCTGACCAAGCCCGTGGTGACCTCCGGAGTTGTGGGATTTGTGACTTGGGATTGTGAGCCTCTGGGCTCTGCCGGGCTTTGTGGGCTCTCTTTGCGGGCTTTGCAGGCTTTGCGGGCTTTTTTGCGGGAGTTGTGCAGGAGCGAGGAGAACACTCGCTCAACTTCGAGACTGCATGCGTGTGTGACAGTTGGGCACATTCGAGATCTTCGACGTCATTGCCACCAATAACACCTTGTTCCGACAGCTGCGGCAACTGCAGAAAAGGTCGGGTTGGCAAGTCTCCAGATTGGATTCGGCTTCTGAGAGCACGTCGCAACTGAGCAGATCATGCCGCCAGTCTTTATTGAACTCCCGCTTGGCTGGCGCCTGGAGGCGCGCAGCATCGCGCAGCCTTCGGCAACTGGAGAGTTGAGAGTTCAGGTCAGCGTGTGCCGCCTGTGCCGAACGGACCCGAAAGTTCCTAAAGCTTACACCCTAAACCTGACCCGAGCCACCCTCTGAGCTCCTTTTCCTGTATGGGGCCCACGCCGGGGAAGACTTTCAGACAGCTGGGTTAACATGTCCCACATCATCCCACATCCAAAAGTACAGTTGTGCAGCGTCCCTGCGTCCGCAGCTGAAAGGAGCTCACTGAGAAGGCGTCCCAAAAGGGCATTGCCAACAACCCGGGGTGCGCCGTACCCAAAGTTGCAATAAGATCCTGAAGATCGGTTTCCCAAAGCCGGTACCCTCTCATTTTGGGAAAGTCCCGAATGAGCAGACCCTGCTTGAGATTCCGCTTGGAGCCTTCGCGCCCGGAAAGCGGGACTTTCGGCCGATGCTGTTGCAGGACTTCGGAGATGTCGGAGTGCTTGTGCTCGCAACCCTCCCGCTCTGCTCCCATCCCTGGGGTCCTTTCATGTTCTTTCGGCTCTTTCGGCTTGAGCTCCCCAAAATAGAGCCTTACAAATCCGTCGCCCCCACCGCATCTGCTGTAGGACTTCGATGGTTGCGCCTAGGTCTTGAAGTGTTGCGAGGGTCGCCGTTTGGCCTATCCCGAGCAGGAGCCGCTACAGCTGAACACGGCGGCGTCTTCTGCAACTTCTTTGCTGTGCAAGTGAAGTGCCTCTTCAGAGAGGTTCGCAGAGGTTCGCCCAACTTCGTGGATGTGCGAGAGCATCACGAACATTGCGAGCATCTCAGAGCACGTGCCGGCCCGAGGAGTTTCGGCCTTGGAGCTGCCATGAGCTGAGGCCCCGAAAGCGTGGTCGACGGTGTCTTTGGCGCTTGAGGCGCCGGCTCGTAAGATCGTAGGCGTCTGACGATGGAGACGCCGTGATACCCGCAGCCTCACTGCACACACGCTCGAAGGCGATACTCACCTTGCTGGCCAGTGCTTCGGGACATTTTGGGCGTATTGGAAGGAGACGCCTTGAAGGTTCCGAAGCTCCCTTTCTGCTTTTCGAGCTCTGCACCTCTGATGTGGCTTGCCTGTCACTTTTTTCCGCCTCTACCGGCAAGGCAGGGGCCGGGCCGGCAGGCAGGTTAGCCCCTGCCGGGCAGGACTCCGAGCCGTTTTGCCTTGCATTGGCCAGGTGCCGTTTTTCTAAGGGCGCCCGCAGGCTCAAGGAGCGGATGAGCGTGTCCCACAAGCCTGGTGCACAAGCACGGCCGACCGGGAGCGGATGACTGCGGAGTGTCCGCAGCTCCTTTGCCTCCTCCGCGTCCTCCGCGAGTCGTTTGGGCAGGACGATTCCCAGATGGCTGCCGTAATCGTTGCGCCTGCCCTGGGTCCACGGGGTCCTGTGCCTTCGTGCTTGAGCCAGCGAGGCCGGCATAGAGCCAGACCGCGTTAGGGACGAACAAGGGCAGGTACTGCTTGTGGGCGGTTGCACCTCAATCTGCACTTGTGCACTTGCGGCGCCCGGCCGAGACATCTTTGGACCGCCCGAGTTATTGAGGGCGCTGCTGGATGGGAGCGACTCTCCACTCTGATGTAAATGCGATAGAAGGCAGGTGCATAGTGCCAGCAGGGATGTGCAAGGCGTGTTCGGCGGCGGACAAGTCAGTGACTGCTGTTCCCTTCTGCTTTAAGGCTTCTTGAGCCACATTCTCAGAAGCAGAAGGGGGCACAGTGGCACTGCGTGCAGCCATATCTCCAAGCCCGAAGCTGGCAAAGGTGCCCCCCTGAGCTGAAGCTCCAGCTCAGACTGTCAACTGCGCTTTTGAGCTGCGAAAAGATCAAGAAGCGTTGTCCGAATTGAATGTTAGTTCCAGGGGAGTGGGCTTGGAGAGCACACTTGCCAAAATCACTACCCTAGCCCAGGAAGGATGCCTCAGTGTTGAGGCTATATTCAGGTTCGACTTGCATCAAAGCTGGCCTCACCAAGTCTTGTTTCAAGGGCCTGCGCCCAGGGGCTTCAGGAGGATTTTTAGGCATCACTCCCTTAGCCCCCAACTACCAATCGAAAAAAAGGCTCACTTTTGTGAGGCATGTGCCGTTAAGCTCCCCCAAAGCAAAAGGCTCTGTGGTGGCAGCTTTTTTCAGGGTGACATCTCCAGCAGGACACTGTGACAGTAAATCATTCCTCAGTGCAATACGCCAAATGAGCTCTCACTGAGCAAGAAAAATCCTAGTTCACTATGAGAAACGTTTGTGCTAGTTTTGGCCACTGCTTGTAGAGCCAGGGCACGTTCCAGCCCCGAAACCCAAAGTTTGGACCATGAGCACCGATTTTGGGTTGTGGGAGAGTTGAGGTTTCGGCGAGTGTCTTGGACAGTATGCAGGGTTTCCTGAGTCAGAAGGTGGGCATGGCTATCTGGCCACCAGAGTGAGGAACGGTTCATGCGACTAGAGCCTTTCAAGAGCAGTTTCTTTGGGGTGAAGACTAAGGCACAGATGTATCAAGTCAACAGCAGCAGCCCATTGCGCGATTGCAGTGCCATGGCGCCATGTCGGCAATCCAAAGCCGTTGCACACACAGGCACGCCGCCAATGCTCCGTTATAGATTCTGTAGTGCTGAATGAATGGGGAGAATACTTCCTTGTATTACTTGTATGCCTCTCGGGAGCAGTTGAACAGCCGGCGGGGACTCATGCCATCTGACGACAAGATGGCAGCTATATGCTGTAGCCCGTACCTAAACCCTAAACCCTAAACCCTAAACCCTAAACCCTAAACCCTAAACCCTAAACCCTAAACCCTAAACCCTAAACCCTAAACCCTAAACCCTAAACCCTAAACCCTAAACCCTAAACCTTAAACCCCAAACCCTAAACCCTAAACCCTAACCCCTAAATAGCTTTTGGAAGTCTGAAGTGCGCGTTTAGAATGGTGCCCGTGCAAGATGAGTCCGACGGCCGAGACGGTAAGCATGCTTTAGGACATTGGACCGGCAAGAACCGCATTTGTTGATTCTTGGCACGGCTAGGTACACGACCAGAGTTGGAAAAGGGAAAGGGTGCGAAAGTTTCACATGTTGTGAGGCAGAGCGCACCCGCATTCTTTCTCATTGGCGCCTGGCTCTTAGCTGACAGCGCTTGTGGTCGCAGCTGTGAGGTGCCCCCAAGTGGTTTACCCAGAAAGCTCGTTTTTTTTCTTCTATTTGCTTTTTGAGGGGTTGGCAGGATACTTAGGTCCGGCTGACGTGCCCTTGGCACCCTGGGATTTTCCTTTTCCTGGCACCCTGTGTTGATGTTGGACTTCGGTATTCCGAAGCCAAAAGGTGAGTCGACAAGCAAATCCGGATACATCCGCATACGCCCACGGCTCGTGCAATCCTATGGCCCGGGAATTGTTTTTTTTTTTGGCCTGGCGACAGGTTTTTTTGGAGGTTTCTTTGCAAAATTAGTGCCGGTGGTCAGGCATACATCAGCATCATGCAGATTGCCCGTGGAGGCTGGGCTGGAGGCAGTGTCTCTGCAGCACTCCTTAATGGTAGCAAAGGCAGTTTTTGTGAGACTTGCATCCTGACTATGTCACCAATCCATACCTGTATCTGAGGAACGGTACTCATGCAACTCCTGTTTTACATTTGACCCGCTAGTGTTTGCTGGTGTTTGCATAGTGCTTTGTGTCACTCCCTGCCTCTTTGCGCAGGCTTTCTTGGCTTAGATGCGACCAGCCGGCAGATCACCGGACACATCTTGCTGAGCATGCTTTGCTGCAGGGAAACAGCATTTGGTGTCGGAGGCAACAGGTATTCCAGTTCATTGTGCTCCCCGAAGTGTATGCCATGTTCATTGTTGGCTCGGTCCGCAAGCCATCCGGGAGGATTCTTGGCAGACCTGCTACAAGCCACAGCGTTGAAATCCGCCCTCGCCGATGACCCCTGTGCGCTCCTCGCGGTACGTACTTTGATCCCCTTCGTAGGAGTGCCGTCCTCCGACCTTGGATCCACGGGTGAACTCGCACGCTTTGGCAGTTCTTCAAAGATGTCATACGTCGCCGGGTTTGCAATGCATCAAAACGCCGCGTTCCAACGAAGCCGGTGAAACGGGTGAATCCGGTGAAGCAGCTCAACCCATCCAGGCCCTGCTTGAAGTCTCGCAGAGTTTCTACCCTAAACCCTAAACCCTACACCCTAAACCCTAATTAAACCCTAAACCCTAAACCCTAAACCCCTTAAAGGGGGACTAGTCTGCAGGGGTCTGCTTGTCAAAGGTTCTCAAGCTGCCTTGGAGCGCCAAAGCCACCTGCTCCCAGTTGTTCGTAGATGTCTCTGGGTTTCGCTGACTCCCTAAACCCTAAACCCTAAACCCTAAACCCTAAACCCTAAACCCTAAACCCTAAACCCTAAACCCTAAACACTAAACCCTAAACCCTAAACCCTAAACCCTAAACCCTAAAACCCTAAACCCTTGAACCGAGTGCGTGCTTTGCATTTGCGGGAGCCGCGTGGTTCGAAGCTTCTATGGCTTCTGTACCAGCGCCTGCTTAAGTTGCCGCATCACTTGGGACGTAGTAAACACACAGGTGCGCAGCCCAGCCCCTGTTTGACGATGTCTAGGGGTTGCTTGTGCATTGTACGCCGCAGCTTCAGTTGCCTTTTCAGGGATGTTGCTGGATGAGAGGGAACAGTCCAGTTGCAAGCGACACCTCTTGACCTTATCAGGGACCCAATGGCCATGTGGCAGTACACCCATATACGGCATCTGACGTCTCGTGACCTTGGCTCACAAGCGTTTTAATTCAAGCAATCTTGCGAGGCAAGCAGTTGCCGTCGCGCATTTTCACATGCTGCGCCCCGCAGGATGCCACTGTCAGCTCGCACCAGGAGGGGAGAAGATTGCCGTAAAGCCGTAAAGGCCTTAGCTCAACATTCTACCTAACAGTGTGCAAAGAAGGCGTGCGTCAGGGAACAAGATTCGCGGTCCTTCCGTGGCCCAAACATGCATTCCTGCCTGGAATTCGTGGACTCGCTTGAAGTTCTCAACTCGCCTCATGCAGTCGCGATAAGGTTAGCAATTGCAAGTGACAGGCCTTGACTTTGTAGACCCAGAGAAAACAGACATCAGGCCAGTGCCCCCCCCAAACCTGCGGTCGCTGCGGGAAGTTAAGTCTGTGTTGGGAGTACCGAATTGCCCGGCATGGCATGTTGGTTCACGCGCTCCTCAGAGGTAGGGAACTTGGCGTATGCCAACATTACAGCGCATCTGCTTTGAAAGGACCAGCTCCGTGTCTGTTCTGAGAAGGAGCTGCGTCTGCATACCCGCACATGCAGCTTCAGTCGTTCTCCGGGGGCTGTGGCAAGTAAGCTGCCCACTTGCAAGCGATGATGTGCATTTTTTCGGTGGAAGCTTCGATGGCAAGGTGCCGCGTGCTGTCCATGGTGGGCGCCTTACCCCCCTAAACCCTAAACCCTAAACCCTAAACATTAAAATGTCCGAGGTCCCTGATGCGGCACCGCGGAGCTTTCTGCTTGACTCCTTTGCCATGAGCAGGGTCGTGATCGTGAGGGAAGGATCTCGGACGGTGCATGGCCCATGCTTGCATCAAGCCAATTTTCTTTGATTTTGCAGCTTGCCACGCGTTGCAATGAACAGTACTAGCACTTCTCGTAGCAGCACAAAGCACGATGGGGAGGAGCTTCGCAGAGCAAGACAGTGTGCACCCAAAGCCGAGCATGACATCTGCTTGTACAGCTGCGGAAGAGAAAGCATGTCCTGGATGAGGCTTCGCCCCAAAGTCGCCGCAAGCCTCTGCGTGTGTGTGTTCCGCGCAAAAAAGTGTTCCAGAATCCTTGCTCACCTGAAGTGAAGGAGGTGAAGGAGCTTAGGCGGCTTGGTTGAATACGAAGGGCTTCCGAGGCCTGTTCCGAGGCTTGTCACGATTGTTGCAAGCGGCTGTCGATTTGTAGAATCGCGGAAAGCCTTCTCTGCGGTTTTACGTTTTCTGGGACGTCCTTAAGACCCTGCCCTCGAATCTTGCCTTCAAGCTGCTCGGGATGCGAGGTGACGCATTAGGTGACATCTTAGTCTTCCCGCCTTTCTCAGTTCACCCCCCATGTGCACAGGAACTGTGCGCCGGGAAAGCTGCGCGATGGATCTGCGCTGCAGCTCCGACGCTGTATCCGTGTGAAGTCAAGGCACTTCTGGGCCTGTTGGGTTGCTTCTAAACCCTAAACCCTAAACCCGAAACCCTAAACCTACACCCTAGTACCTAAACCGTAACCCTAAACCCTAAACCCGCATCATGGTAGGTGGAGTTGCGAGCGTCGTTCTCGACCAAAAGATGCACGGCCAGTGCTCTGCCAGGCACCATTGTTGTTCTCAACCCGCTTACATTGACTCCTTGAAAAGTGCAAGTGCTTGAGAGCCTCTGCCTCCACCTGTCCCCAAGCGGGTGTTGGCGCTTGCCTGGCTTCGTGAGGGATACGGGCAAGCGATCGATCTGAAAAGTTCCTTCGACGGTTTCTCCCAACATGATGTCTGTGGGTCGGTCTAAGTTGGGTCCAGGTTGACGAGGTTGACATGAGCTGCCTAGTTGCCCAGCTGCAAGCGGCATTTCTTGATCTCTAGCTGTGGGCCACAATGCAGTGCAGCTGTGCGCATTTGGTTCCGGCCATGCAGGTGCTGAAGTCACGCGGGCCCTTTTAGAGGCCTTGTGGGGACATGGGTCGGTCGTGCTACCCTTCAGCTTGCCCAGCTGCAGAGAAAGCATCCCGGGAAGCGGCTTCATGTCATGAGCAGTCCACAGACCAACGACATTGCATGACAAGATCCGGGCTCCTAAGAGGCGCAAGGACCTCTTGAGACGGAGCCTAGGGAGCCTAGTTGCTGCGGTGCTCCCGAACAAGCTGACTGGACGCTGTCCTCTGTGGCACTCAGAAAGTTTGTGACTCCTGTGGAACGGATCGTCCCGCCTATCCTTACATGGTGTCAGTAAACTTGTTTGTTTGACTTGCCTTCAGGTTGCCAAGGGTTCCCAGATCTGCGCGCAGCATGTCAATGTAGTGATCAGTGCACCACCCCTGCAATGTGTTGCAGCGCTCCGAGCTTCACGCGAGGGCCCAAGGACCTCGTGCTTGTCTCTTTGTTGCGAACATTGCAGCGGCGTGGCCTTTTCAAGGCACCAGAATGTTCATGTCACCAAGCCATCTGGAGGAACCTCCTGCAGTCTATCCAGGCACGAAGTGCAGGCAAGGATCTTGTTTGCGTGCAATGATTTCCGGCGGCCTCAAGTTGCCAAGTTTTCATGGACTATTTCTTGATCCGTGGACCGCAGTGCTGCCAGCAGCGCCTCCAGCTCTAGCCGCAGTCCTGTGGTAAAGCCGCCGAGCACCTCCGCCTCCTCCACGTGTTGCGAGATGAGTTTTCCGGCCTGGTGGCTGCTCGCCTCGGCATCGACGTTGTGGATGGCAAATGTTGCTTCTGCTCCAAAGGTCGGCCTTCCCTCAGTTGCACGGCGGGTGAGTCCGTCGCACTACGCCGCACCCTCCGTGACCTTATCCATGATTGTTGCGACCACGGAGGACTACGGCCTGTCTTGGAAGCACCGAATCTGTCGGGTGGTCGGCCCACTTTTGAGTGTGCACTGAGGGGTGCCACCCACTGGCAGCTGTCTTCATGTGCTGACCGGGGTTGCTCTTGAAGCGGTTACCTGACGGCACGCGGCGGCACTTCCCCCAACCCGTTGCCTTGGACGTTGCCGTCATCAACGCCTTGGGCCCCATCACTGCGGAGCCCTATCCAGCAACCCTGCCGCGGCAGAAGGCGCGTACTCCGCCCAGCCCGACACAGCCCGCAAATGCACAGATGCCGGCATTCACGTCCAGCGTCTCGTGTTGGAGGCGCAAGGCGGGCTCAGCAAAGAATCCCGCCCTCCTCAATGGAATCTGTCTGCGGCCATTGCCCTCATGTCCCTCCACCGCGACCACACTATGAAGTCTGAGTTTTGCCCCCAGAAGCGGTTCGAGTCGCGGCCTGTCCCGCAGTGGCACGAAGACCACTTCCTTCTCGAGCCCCTGGGAGCAGATCTTGTTCGCCGAACTGCATGAAACGTCCTTGCTATCCCCGTTGTAGTATTTGTAGTGCAGCCGGGAAGGAGTGCATAGGCTTTCTTGGCGCCAGTAGTAGGCAAGTCTTGAGAGGTGTGGTGGCAAGCACATGTGACGCTTCGTAACGCTCAACAATGCTCGCATGATGCCGGTGGATGCGTTGGTTTGTTCATTTCATTTTGCCAGCCCCAAGCACTACTTGCTCGGTCTGTACATGCGGAGGGGTCTCATCTCAGAGGTGTATCAAGTGCCACTGGCAAAGCAGCCCTGGCGCTTGCTTAGCGGCTTAATCGTTTAAATCGCTCCTGGGATGGACATTGAGAGGTCGGAACTCACATGCTGTGAGAGTTGCCTTTGTTTCCGCAAGCAGAGCATGCGTCCGGGAGTGGAGTTCGCCATTCCTTTGAGGAAGATGTTTTCAAGGTCTGCTAAGTTGCCCAGGTCGCATCGAATGTTGATGTATGGACTGCAGTGCTTCCAGCAGCACACGTCGTCCTCCACCGCCGGTGCTTCGAGAAAGCCGCCAAGAGCCCTCCTTTCAAGGGAGCTGGGAGGGTGGTCCTAAACACTAAACCCAACACCCTAAACCTCAAGACCGGGAGGTTCGTGAGAGCTTGCTTGTCCACCACTTGAGGCGCGGAGCGCCTCTGGGTCCAGGCTAAGACAGCCTGCCCCAACTAAAACAAAGATACGCCTACCAAGGCGCAGCAGGCCGAACATTGCATCTCGCGCGATACAGCAGCTCAGTCTGGAGCAGTAGCACGCCAAGAAGACAACATGGTCAGGGCGGTACTGTGGGATGCCGACAGTTCATGGCTGCCATCTATGGAATCTATGGGCTTCTCCAAGTTGCAGAGCAGCTGCGAGGGGATCGGTTGGTATGGGTTCCCTTTCCTCTGGTACACAGAGCTGGGGGGCAAGGGCAAGGCTGCGTGGAATGCCAGGCATTGGCAGTCACCCTGAAGCTTGGAATGAAGTCTCGGATCTGGGAGCAGATCTCAGATCTTGAGGTTCTGGAATCCTGCTCTCAGCCTCATGCCAGGCTTCTGGCAAAGCAACACCGGCAATGCGGGCCCTGGGCCCCCTCACCCTCGTACCAGCTGCAGCTTCGTGCCTGTGTTGCCTGCCGACTTTAAAGGCCAAATGGGCCCTGGGTTGCTGAGCAGGTTGCGGATGGCGCTGGCCTTCGCGCTGAAGGTCTGTGGAGTCTTTTATCCTTGGGCTGCACATGTAGCAGTCGCCCCAAGACCGCGCTGGTCTTGAGGCAGAACAATTGAGTGAAGGTGAAGTGGCTCGCAAGTTGCAATTCCTTCTCAGAAAGTGATTGTGAGGTGGAGAGGAGGCTAAATTATTGCGAACCACCACAATCATTACCATCCCCCCCCCCAGATTTGATTGCAAGTGGCCATGCGGTATGCTTTCCACTGGGAATCCATGGTTTTGAAATGATGGCCATTCTGCTGCGGTGTCCCCAGGGACATGATTGCAACGGGGGAGGGGTAACATTCTGAATGAGGCATAGTTTCTTCTCAGCTTCGGACTCCGTGCACTCGGGCGGAAAGTTGCAGAAGTCCATCCTGTACAGTCGGAGACGTAGAGCTTCGATGAGTTCCACACCTTCACGGACCATGGGACGGGCGCTTCGGTTGCACTACTATCATTTGCATGGTCATGAGTATTTTTTCAACATGATTCATCGCATTCTTTCTCATAGTCATAGTGGTGACGATCGCCATAATCGAACGTGTAACTACACATCCTCTGTCTCTGAAAGGGATTCGTAAGCGTTCGGAGCTCATGATTTGATTTGATTTCAGGTGGCGCGCTGCCCTTGCGATGAGGTGCGGCTGAGCTCCGCACCTGAGGGCCTGTCAGCGATTCCCCTGGTGCATGAAGATGTGCAGCGCCCCGACCTTCGTAGCTGAGACTTCAGCAACAGGTCTTACTTGGCTTCAGTCAGTTCCTGCCCGGGAGAAAATGACTGCACCGTGCGACTGCTTGCGCCAAGTCCTCTGCCAACAGAGCTGCTTCCTTTTGTGCCAGGCGGGTTTGCATTGATATACATGCGACGGACGTGGTGATGTGGACTTGATTGTAGTTGTTTTAGGGTTTAGGGTTTCGGGTTTAGGGTTTAGAGTTAGGGTTTAGGGTTTAGGGTCGTTGATATCCATGTTGTGGTTCCCTGCTCACTTTGTCTCAGCTTGGGAGACTTGGTGTAACGACAACGCGCTTGGCTAGTAGCTGCTAGCAGCCGGGGGTAGGGTTTAGGGTTTAGGGTTTAGGGTTTAGGGTTCAGGGTTTATGGTTTAGAGTTTAGGGTTTAGGGTTTAGGGCTGAGGCCAGAAATAATAAGGGTTTAGGGCTTAGGGTTTCGGGTTTAGGGTGGGTGGTTTCCGTTGCGCCGGGTCCTGGTTTCTGTTGCACGTCTGCTGGTTTGTTGTTGCGGTTGTCCTTCTTCTCCGGCTGCACGGTTTCGACGGTCCTCGGCGGTTTCCAGTGCGGCCCGCACTCCTTTGCACGGAGCTGTGCGGAAACGTAACACAAGGAAGTTGAGCCGTTCCACCTAGTGGGCTGTGAGCATCATTCTGGCTCGAACTGGCTCGAATACGGGTATTGAAACGATATTACAATATTTCATTTAAATAAGATATTTAGGCACTACAGTTTCATTCTTTATTGCACATGATACTCAAACATCTTATAATTCAGCTGCGATTGTAGGAAGGCCCCAGAATCCAGAAGCTGGTAGCAGTGTGGTGCCTCGCGACGTTCCTCGCAAGCTGAAGCGAACGCAGCGTCTGTCCCCCCCTAATAATACCAATCAGAAAAAAATCATAATATTCAGAATAACTCATAATCGTAAAATTAATACCAACCAGAGTAAAAATAGTAATAATAATAACAATAATAACAATAATACAAATAATCATTCTAATGGGGGTAGTAATAGCAATAATAATACTAATCATGATGTTGAACGCGGATGGCCATGGACCTCTCTTGTCAGTGGTGGGCCTTCTGGTGTCGGCGAGGCTGGGCCGAGTCGGGGGCGTAACAAAAGCCAGCGGGTGTTTAGGGTTTAGGGTTTGGGATTTTGGGGTTTAGGGTTTAGGGCTTAGGGTTTAGGGTGTAGGGTTTAGGGTGATGTCAGGCCTTCATGTCGCATCGGATTGACGGCTTTTGGTACGTTGGCAGCTCTCTCTCTCTCTCTCTCTCTCTCTCTCTCTCTACCCCTTCTGGACCACTTGGATGCAACGCCACTTGCGAGTGTGTGCAAAATTCTTTAGCCGATGATATGGGTATGTGCCACTCCTGTGCAGGCTCTCTCTCCAGAGCTGCAGACATTCCCCCGAGGTCGCGCGACGTTTCAAGAAGCCATTCTTTTCTTGCAGTCTCGAAGGTTCATGGCCAATTAGAAGTATGAGAACCCCAACTAAGGATACTCTCGCCAGTTCCCCTAAACCCTGAACCCAAAACTCTAAACCCCAAACCTCGAACCCTAAATCACCTTCAGCCAGAAAACCTTTAAGTCCAGCTTTCTGTCCTTGAGGAGAGGGATCATGTTCTGGGGATTCCATGATGTCTCCGTGGGGTAGTCAGGTTTTTCCTTTCGGATCTTGTGACATTTTGGGGTTTTCAATGATGGTGAACCGGTTGTCTTGTTGCGGCTTCAGCTATTTCTGTTGTAGTGGTGGTGAAATTCTGGTCCTTTGTTACCTTAAACTCCAGAAGCCTAGAACCCCGAAACCCTAAAACCCTAAACCCAAAACCGTAAGCCCTAAAGCCCCTGTTTACTTGTGCTGTCTCTTGTTTTTTTGATGTTGCCCATTGCTGTGCCTCTCCATCAAATTCGCTTCCCTCCTGTGTCTGCTTGTCGTCAGTTTCTGCATGATGGTATGCTTGCCTTGCGGGTTTCAGGGTTTACTTGGAGGTTCCGGCTACTTATTAACCAACTATAGCTGTACTTATAACCCACACATAAGTCCCCCAAGCGCCCGAATATGCTTCTAATCTGAGTTAGAAGTACAGTAAGAGTTGGTTAATGAGACCCTGCTAAACCCTAAACCCAAAACCCTAAACCCTAAACCCCAAACCCCAAACCCCAAACCCTAAACCCCAAACCCCAAACCCTAAACCCTAAACTCTAAACCCTAAGCCCTGAGCCCTGAGCCCTAAGCCCCCTAGGGAGCTCGACTTCCGCAAAGTCCACCCTCTGAAGCTTCTGAAACCCTCCCAAGGATCCCCCATGCTGCAAGGAAGAAGCCCTCCAAAAGCCTTAAACATCGCGATTTAGGGTTTAGGGTTTGGGGTTTAGGGTTTAGGGTTTAGGGTTAAGGGTTAAGGGTTAAGGGTTTAGGGATCAGGGTTGAGGGTTGAGGGTTTAGGGTTTAGGGGTTTAGGGACCCTCGGCCCGAACTAGAGCCTGCCAGTGCTTCAGGACTGGCCCTGCCATGAGGTGGGAGTTTTTGGGATCTTTCCTCCCATGGCTCCGCGTTCACTGGGGAACTCGGCACTAGGGCCGAGGGGGCTCAGCAGGCAATTCTTACGGTTAGGGTCCTACAGGGTGGAGCGGACGCTGGGGCGCTGAGACGCCGGAGCACTGGGGTCGGGACCTCATGCACCCAGTGCGGCTGCGCGAGGATGCGATCGACTTCTCAGGATCCCAGAAGCTGCCAGAATGCGACCGTTCGGGCCAAGCGGAGATTCGCAGATGAGATTCGCCTTGTTTCGGTCACTTGCCGTGCGCGGGGGAAGGTGCAAGTCATGGGGCAGCTGAAAGAGGTTGCGTTGTTCCGGAACAGGTCTCGAGCCCACGCATCCTGCTCCTGTGAGCTGCTTGACAGCAGCTTGCAGGCATGTAGCTGTTTGGGCCTCTACATCCAGGATTCCACTTGCTGACTGAAGCTGGCCCCAGCTTGCGTAAGGCGGCGGGGGCGGCGTAGCCAGAAAGCTCGCCTCAGTCCCTCTGCTGCGCATCTCACGGGAAGTTGGGTGGAGGAGTCTGAAGCCCTAAACCCTGCTGGTGCCGTGGGCCCCCTGAACTCTTGGAGAGCTGAGAGCTCCCAGGCCAAGGTGCTGTCCACAATATCCCTCTCTTTGCTTCTTTATGTGAAAAGCTCCAAAGCCGTGTGAGCAGATGTCTTGCATCTTTGAGGGAGCTGGGGAGTGCAGACGAGGCGGCTTCAGGCCCCTAAACCCTGAACCCTCGGTGGCCTTCGCGTTCGCCTCAGAGAAGGGAAGAGGAGCGCGAGCTTTGTCGTGATCGTTTTTTCAGGCAGATTTTTCGCATTCCGGACACCTGAGACCAGAGGTTTCCTTTGAGGTCAAAGGGAGCATCATGTAGAACCAAGGGGAAAGGTATGAAAGCGTCTTTAATTCTGGAAAAGGGGAAAGGTATGAAAAGTGTGTTTATGGAAAAGCAGCTTTTGTTTTTGATTTTGGCTGGCCAGGAGCGCGGAAGCCTTGAAGCCCTTGCCCCAAAACCCTCGTCCCACGAGGGGTCGGATGGTCTTCCAGGGCGTCTGATGGACGATCTGGCTCTCAATGGTCCCATCATGAGACTACAGATGTCCACCTCCCTACAACCCTAAACCCTAAACCCAGAACCCTAAACCCTAAACGAGTTGTTGATGGGTCTTGCTCGAGGAGGTGCTTTTCTAGTTCTCCGATGGTCGACTGGCGCCAAGTGAATCCGAGCTCTTCGCCCGAAGGCGTGGGGCAGATGAGGGGGATCAGCAACCGACACGAGTCAATGAAGTGCCGACAACAGCACAGGGTCTTTGGCACGGCCGCTGCATCCGCTTTGCTGGGCCTGCTCCTTGCAAGGTTTCCATGGATGTAGGTTGATGTAGGTTGCTAGTGCGCTCGGAGAGCTAGCGGTCACAGAGGCTCTCGGAGGGTGGGCGGCATGACGAGGCGCGCGGTGCCTGCGCCCAACTTCTGCACACTCGCTCAGAGCACTTTTGATCAGAAGCTTGGGACAAAACAAGCTGTGACTTGAGGCCCCACTTGCTTGCAGAATCGAATCTGCAGCTTGCTGCAAGCCTCTCCGACAGATCTGCTGCGCGTGGATGCCGCGTGTCAGCATGGCCTGCGTCGCGAGACGCTGCTGCAAGCCAAGAACAGACAGTTGACC